ACACTAGATTCTACACTAGATTCTACACTAGATTCTACACTAGATTCTACACTAGATTCTACACTACGATGCACGCACGATGACACGGTCCTGTCCTATTTGCGAAAAGGAGCAAAAGAATTTATACACTCATTTAAGTCGAACTCATAAGTTGGACAATTCGCAACGAAAGTATTGGATCGGTAAAGAACAAATGCGAAAAAGCAGTCATCGGTACACTCCGTACCCATCGCCTCAAAATGTTGAAGATCACACGAAATGTGACAGGTTTCAGTTACTCCATCCCTTCACAGCCATTGTGGCAGGAATGACCGGTTCCGGAAAAACGGTTTGGGTTCAGAATTTGCTCGAAAATGCAACACAAGTGATCAGTCCTCCGCCGCAGCGCATCGTATGGAGTTATGCTCAGTGGCAATCTGCTTACGACCACATGATGAAAACCATTCCCGGGATCGATTTCGTAAAAGGCATACCGCGCGACCTGGATGAAGATGATTATTTTAACCCTAAGATCAATAATTTGATTGTGATTGACGGCCAAATGACAGAGACTTGCAATGATAAGAGAATCATGAACTTATTCACCAAAGGATCTCATCATCGAAACCTGAGTGTCATTTTTCTTATGCAGAATCTTTACTTTCAAGAAAAAATTATGCGCACCTTGAGTCTAAATGCTGCATACCTCGTTCTTTTTAAAAACCCAAGAGATAAACCACAAATGATGACTTTGGGAAAGCAGATGTATCCAGGCAAGACAGAACAGTTCATTCAAAAGTACGAGRCCGCTGTACAACGCCCTCRTGGATATCTTTTCGTGGATCTGAATCCAAACATACCAGAAGAATGCAGACTCAGAACTAATGTTCTCCCCAGTGATCAGACTACTTTGCAGCCGAATCCTACAACAACATTATCACAGTATGGTGGAGAGTATGATGCCACTATGACATCCATGGCTAACTATTTCGAACGTCAAAGTTATTTACAACCACCCATACTCAAAACAATACAAAATTTAAAGGAACAGATGGATAACATTCTTATGGAACCCAATGTTCCCGCGGAACTGAAGATCAAAGAATACACTAGACAATCGATACCTCAATCTACAACAGCAACTTCCAAGCACTGTTGTATACAGACCCGAGCAGGAAACCATGCTACCGGCCTTGACTATAGTCAGAGTCCTTCAATTCCATCCCCTAGTCTTACGACTTCAGAAAACGTTTCTTCTACAAGTCTCGCCAGCGATAGTGGCTATGTAACGCCCAAACCTAAGACCCCTTCCTTTCTAGATGCTCATAAATATAAAGATGTAGTAAAGCCTCCACGACTTCAGAACGATTGAGAGCAATCGCGAAGTCCTTGCCCAAGTGGGAAAATTTTTAAGCAGTTGTAACCGTGTTCAAAAGTAATAACTAAACTGTATGAAACCAATAAAGTTATATATGCAAAATAAAGAAACTTGAGTGAAAAACACTTGTGGTCAATATTTACTGCATTCAGCGAACCTCAAACTTCTAATGATGCATGACGTTTATTCATTATTTGCATATATCGCAGCGACAGTTGCACTGAGGTGAATCCAACTGGCAATCAGGCAGATGAGAAGATAATG